GTCGTCGTCGTCGTCCTCATTGCCGCGGAATCATCGCGTTCACGCGACATATCGAATCCTCCCGCGAAATACGGCGTCAAATATTTAAAACGAAACTTCTCCACAAAACGATTGTTAAAGTCGACCCGGAGGCAATCCTCGACGTATAACGGTATACGATTCTTAGCGCTACTAGCTACGAGTCTCTCTGGCTTGAGTATGTACCCCTCGGAAACGCTGTACTCGCTGGTCTCGGAGTTGTAATATCTCAGCATGTTCTCGTCGACGGTCTGCGATCTCGTGAATGGTGTACACATCTTTTTGTACAACGAGCGTACCACTGCGGACTTGCTCCGTACGAGGGGATATAGGGTGGGACACTTGCTAGGGTTGTTGCTTCTGGGCTTGGTGGGACAATGACATTCGCTGCAAGGTACCCTAAGATTGTGCCTGCGCCTATTGCGCCTAGGGGGTGAGGGTATGGGGGATATGGCACCGGGTATTAAAACGTTTTTAACTGTCGGTCTGCAAACAATGTTTTTCATATAGAGACTTTAGCGCTCTTGCGGGAACACAACCAAAGGGTGAGCCCATTCCGCTTTTCATCTTTCTTTTGCTCCTTTTTTACTTTTTTTCTCCTTCTATTTAACCACGCGTTCGCGATCGATCGAACGCATATCGGTCATTAACATCTCAAAACTCGACTCTGTCGATTCGCCGAGAACAACGGGTCGGCATTTCAGAAGAGACACGCGGCGATCGATGTACTTCGCAATGCTTCTTCTTCTTTACTATGACGCGACGAGACACAACTACCTAACCGTTCGACCAACGCCACGCACTGATCCCTGCTTCCTTAGAATGGGGCACTAATTAAATGGACATTGACACGGTGCATAGGAAGTGCAATCTAATCGCTCCGTAAAGAAAGCGGGAGGGGTATCGGAAGACTTGACACGTACACAAGCAGGATGTGAAAATGTGCAACTACGGGATATTTTTAGTTGACAATGTCCATTTAATCCAGGGATTTTACTTGACTCAAGAGGTTGAGCCGATGAGTGTGCTATTCCTCAGAAGATTGATTTTAATGTATCGTGACATAAAAGACATATAATGATGCATTCTAATATTGCAGCGATGTTTAAAATGTACGATAAGAAATATATTTAAGATAAACACACTCGATGCTCAAATCCTCCTTTCTAACGGGATATTCTCTTGAATCTGCGTTGCGTTGCACATTGACTGCCGCAACGCGAGGTGGTCCGTATGGTAAAATAACGGAAATTTAATTATAAAACTATACTCACATTAATCTCGATCCACGTGGTCGTTCCGATTGCGTACTAAAGGCACTGCTCGTTACCGAAGCTATGCTCTCCATGTCAGAATCTCCAAGATCGAGTATATCTTTGTCGGGACTTAAGTGCCCCGTCCTCGGCCTGTGCAATCTGTGAGAGTGATGACTGTGTGGCAATGTTAGAGGATCGTGTCCCATTGAAGGAAGATCCGAGTCCGAAAGACCGCTGATGTGCCTTTCCCAGCCTGGGAATAAATTAATCAATTATTTAAGATATAATAATAAAAATAAAAATAAAAATAAAAATAAAAAATATTTTATATTTATTAAAAATAAAAAATAATAAATTAATATATCTATATTACATAGTATTTATAATATATTTATATTTATTAAAAGAATGAGTTATATATTGGCTATTGTATTAAAATATGTTTCTATTCATTCATTCTTAGTCCAGTAGTGGCCAATAAAAAAATATCAGACAAATACATTAATTTTTCCGATAGAAAACGTTGAAACTCACCTCCCATACCCATGCCCCTGTATATCAACTGTCTGTTGCGATGTCTTACGAATCGTATTGCTCGTTCGTCAAAATCTTGCGCGACTCTTTCCTTCAAAGCTGCTGGGATTTGAGGTAACTGACGTTTCTTCGGCGATCCAGTAGGTGTGGCAGTCGCCGATCTCGAACCGAATCTAAATAAGAGCAACGGTAAGTCCACAGTTCCAGTTCCCACAAGCTTGTAATCTAGATAATGTCAAAGAATTTTCCCTGTGATATTTTACCTTGTCGTATGAACATATCCATGCGAGTAGGGAATGGATCTATGCTCGGGTGGAGACAAGGAACGATGACCGGTGGGACTCTGAGATCTTCCTCGGTATCTGACACTCGAAGAGTCCATAGGTGCCGCGCTGTGCGACCTGTGACCCATCATTCCCCGATGGAACTCGTCCTGCGATACGTATTCAATAATGTACAAGGATACACTTCGATAAATGTTGTATATTTAATAACATGTGCTTCGATGTCTCAGGCAGCAATAGAGTATCAATAATTTTTCTTTTTTTTTATTCGCGAAAAAAATGGCTCGCAGAAATTAATTAATCATTAATTAATTTCTGCAATCCATTTTTTCTTAGTTAAAAAATTTGATCAAAACTCGAACACACACGCGCGCGCACATGCACACTTTTTCTTTCTTGTAACTCTTAAATCTCTCGATTTTAAGCACATCTTTGCAATCGGTACTCAAATAAAAATTAAAATCAAACGTTCTCTAACATTTACCTTACGATATGCCTGATAACTCGAGATAGAAGCAGGTTGTTGGTCACGAGAAATCATTAGGGCTGCCCTTTTACGTCCCTGAGGCGACATATCTCTTCGACTCCGATGTTCGCCATCGACGCAGAGTTCCCTCTCCGGCGGCGGGCTAGAATAGTGGCTGCTCCAGCATGCGTTCATTTTTTTTCATCAATCAATGAATGCTGCGTGGCTTACAAGTTAAATGAGGCGAGTGCTGTGATCTCGCGCTAAAATGTACATGCGGCCAGGATGGTGGGAAAGCAGAAAAGAAGATGTTCAAATGCTAGGAGTGAAAATGAGCTACGCAGCACCGAGGACAAAGTCGAAAACGTTGAGATAAGAATAAAATCCTCTCACTCGTTAATGCTATTTTTCAAATTGTCTTCGTACATATTTTGGCGCATAAGCGCGAGCTCGATTTGACTCCTCAGATCGCAAACTGCGAATGCATATCTCCTAATTTGGCGCACAGCAGCTCCAAGTTACTCGGCAATGCAGTCGAGCGTTCTCTTTGGTGTTCTCGATCTCGCGGGGCTCCTTTCGTTGCCAAAAATGAGAGTATGCGCGACAAAAAAGAGAGTGACTCGTCATAAATTAAGAATATGCCGTGTAAGTGCGTTCGATGAGTGCCAAGTACTGTGTAAGTATTACACATCAAAAGGAACGACCGTGCGAGATGTGTAAGATACAAAATCCAGAATAATTTTCACCATTTTTGGCAACAAAAAACAATATGTCGATGGGCAAGATAGTCACGAAAATCGGGCGAACTGCAGTCAAAGCTTCGACAAAACTCAATCCACCCCGGCCGATGCACTGCAATGCACTAAGCATTCTAGAAGCCATGTCTTGTCGCATCTAATATAATATGCGTATATGCGAGAAGCAATGACAGCATGACGTCTAAAGTGCCTACATGGATGGCGATTCGCTAAATATTCGCACTTGACATCTCGTTGTTCATTTCACTATGTTTTCGCGTCTTAACGAAAAACGAAGACAAAGGATAGAAATTGTCCCGGCAATTTTGTAACACCGAAACGTCGTGCATTGCAATATTCACCGACTTGCATGTGCGATATCGCGCGTGGAAAAGGAATTAGAGATTTTATTGCCGATGTTTTCCGTCACCGATGACGTCTGTATCACGGTCGTTGTTTCTTTCTTTTACCAAAAAAAAAAAAAGAAAGAATACTTTCTCTCTTCCTTCCCTCCCGTTCACGCTTGGAAGTAATATCCTTGGTCAAATGAAGATTTCTCGTGCCTTTGTTGTACGTTCTTAAATCAAATTAGCTACGTGACCACATCAATACACGTCTCGTTGTCTCGTCCCTACTACATCTCCGGCTTGAGATAATCTGTCGGTATGACTAACTGATCTACGCGCAATACATTAGAACCTAGCGGTGAGGATGCAAGACGTGTGACTGCGTGATTCGTGAAAGAGGAGAAGATATAAATTGTAATGGCCGTACCGCTTATAATTTGACGGCATATTATGAAACCTAAAAAATAAATCACAAAGCATACGATTAAAATCAAAATCAATGGGCGGTGGCGCGGCCGCGGCCGACGCGTCATTGTCTAATGTTTCTTATCTCTCCACAGATTATTTTACACATTTCAACATAAAACATTTTATCCGTATTTATATGAATTAATTTAATCTGCAAAGAATGTGTTCAACCCTAAACCTTTGTGTATAAACGCGTAATTTTTTTTTTATTCTAGCAATGTTTAAATATGGAATCGCGAAGGCGCGAAGAGAAATAGTATAAAACTTATGCATTTATTTTTTGTAATTCTCATACGTGTATCCGCGATTGACCAGAAAAGCTATGCGTACTTCGTCATAAATATAATAACGTGTATATACTCGCGTAGAATTATAATAAAAATATTTTATCAAAACGTGCACACATTGTCCATTATGTTAGTACCGCCGGCTTGGTTTGACGATGGATATGTTAATGTAACTGGCGAAACCCTTTCGAATAATCTCATTAAACGATATTGAAGGTTGTTTAAATATGTACAGGACGTCCGCCGCTCTCAGAGCAGGCTGGAATGTTTCAATTATTCGGAGAAAGCTTTTCCAGGCTAATGCGCGCTTAGGGATAGAAGCGTCCGCTTTGCAGATCGAAGCGATATAAAAGAAGCGCAGAGCGATGCCGGATAATATCTCGGCTTATCCCCATCTCTGCCACTCTACCTGCCAAGTCTATCGAAGATAGCCTACGTGTTCATTGAATCCACTACATTGATTCAATTTGCCGCGTGTATCGTCGATGAAAAAATTTATGGGCAAGCTTTCTTTAAAGCGAGAGCAAGACGCGTCATTGGAACAATTTCGTGAAATTTACTTGCTAAATATATGAAAATTATAATTGTTGTGAATACGGATATCACGAATTTTATTATGTAAACTTCGTTGTCGTTTAATTATAATTATTAATGATTAAACGTTCACATTAGGAAAGTTTCACAGGTTTCACATTTTCGTAACTGTATAATTTATTGCAGTTGCAAATATATCTAACTTTCTTCTCTAAGATCAATTAACTTAGCAGCGATTTTGCGCGATTCTAAAAAGGTTCATTATCACGAATAATTAACACTTTGGACAGTTATCTTCTTTTTTAACGTACACTATCGTTTCTTTCCTTTGCATATAAGTAGAAACTCGAAAACTTCAACACAAAAATCACTTTATACTCAAAAATAACGACCGGACATCATCATTAGAATATTAATATGGATACGAGTTTTAAGGCTGACTTCCGGAGCTAGCAACGGTCGTGAGCCAACTGCTATGTCAATTGGCTTGTTGCCCAGTTTTATAACTTGGCTTTTACCCCCTCTCGATTGACCCCTTCCCATTCGAGTCTTATCTTTTTTTTTTAAACTTCCGTTCGCAATCATTTATTTTATATATTCCTACTTGTCTCTATTTCTCCACTGCGCTTGGCTTACATTTTAGTCGTATAAGAAAGAAAGAAAATCAGATCTCTCTTATCGGAGCCGCTTTCAAAACTTTATACAAAATGTTTTTAAATTATAAGAAAAAACAGTTTTACAATAATTTCACGGCAAATAATCGATAAAGAAAGAACAGTTCAATAAAAAAAATCAACAAAAACTCCTTTATTGTACATTTATTTCAAGTCATGTAAAGTTCTCTTTAATCGCATAGATTGCATCAATGTCTGATTCTAATGGAAGCATTCTGACGGAAGGAATTCTGTGGGAAAATACCCTGTATCGTACGCCAAAATAACGTCTCCTTGTGTAATAAAGACCGCAATACAGGGAACGAGAATAACTATTATGCAACAATATAACGATGGTAGTTACGAGATCTGTAAACTAGATCCTAAGTCGGGGGCAGTAACTCTGCCAGATTAGTAATGCAGTTCCTACCGATCAAATATGCTGATTGTAACGTATTTGGGTAACTGCTACATTTAGTTCTCAATAATGTGTAAAGTATCAATTCGATACCTCGTGATTCTCGCATAAACGCTTCGATTTGCGTATGACGGATTTATGCGGTATTGGACGCAGATATCTTAAGCTAGTTGAGTTGGCTGATTTTCCCAGCGGTTTCAATATACTCTCTTTCGTTAAACCGGGAGATTTATATATACGGAGATTTTAAAAGATGGCCTTACCTAGAGGAACTGCCGATACTGCTTATGCTGGCACCGTCAGCCGTTCTTCTTTGTTCTCTCGACACGTCGCAATCCGTAATGTCGCACTCCGAAGTGTCGGAGTCACTTAATCTCGACGTGGTCGACGGTGGACTAAGATGACAATCTATCATGTCATCAGAATCTTGGTAGTGCCTAAGGAGTAAAAAATAGTTAATTATTCCAGCGTTAGACTCTGTTATTTTATCGCGACATTAAATTTTTTTTTTTATTTGTTTAGAAACAAAATGCCAAGGAATATAGGCCCCTCTTTGTCTTGAAATGCAGATTTCTAAGACCCACGAGATAAGTCACCGTATTATAATGTTACGTCATTTTACGCAGAGCGAGATATAACGTGGGAACATTGTCAAACATTCCGCAAGGGATTCGTATCGATGCGAGGTATTTATTTGATCGCTTTTAGCATTGGAACTACTAGCATCCGCGAGTGCGATTCATACCTGACGTGCCGGTGTTCTCCGTGAGCGGTCAGAGAATGCCATTCTGGTTCCTCGTTCAGGAGACATACTGCCAATTCCAGGACAGCCTCGCCGAGGAAATCATTCGCCTCGTACCTAGCGTAGTCCCAGACCGTAATCTCCAGTGCCCTCTTCCTCAGCTCCGAACGTCTGACTCCATTATAAACGAAAATCTGATTCCATCTAGGGTCGTTCGTGTTCGCCACAGTCTTCGTACGTCGTTTCGATTTTTCGCTATAAATGACATTTAAAAAGATATATAATTTTTCAAAGTACTCAAAAGATTAGCCGATAATTAAGAACAAAATGAGTCGCAGACCGAATAGTCACCGTTAAAGGATTACAAAACAAAACTGTAATATTAACGTACCTACGTCAAAGAATATATTTCAAACATATTTAGTTGCGTTTTTATGATATTCGAGTTACATTAAAATAAATATTGAGGCATTTACAGGTTCGCGCATATTTCTCCGAAATGTTCGATTGATCAAAAGTATTATCATCAAAAATACTGTGAAATACGGTAATTCACTCACCTTTTGTCAGGAAACAGAAAAACTTTGGCGTAAGGGTTTCTAGGTTGGCCGTTGCTCTTTGGCGTGAGCCCCGCGGCGCAAATTATCGTGACGATCAGCTGAAGTCCCACAGGATCGAAGCCCAGCTTCACCTGGATACTACCGCCCACGTTCGCATTTCCGGTCGGATGTCGGGAGTGTCGACCGCGTCCTTGGGCGTGCAGGTCCGGCGAGCCCGGCGACGTCACTAAAACCGAGGGTTTCTCACGCCTCGCGTCGTACAATTCTGCAAGTGATCGTGCAGCTTCGACTAGGATACAACTTGTTTTCGTATCTGCGATCTTGCAGCGATTCACGAGAAGTGTAGGTACGCGAGTTTCGTCACGAAGAAAATAACGAATAGAAGTAAAAGACGACAGTAAGTAAATGAAGAAGAAGAAGAAGAAATTCGGGTGATCCAATGAATGGACAATCTTTCATGCTTTCATTACCGTTAACACATTCATTGTTGGCATTGTTGACAGTGAATATGTTAACATTCGTGTTTGTATATACGATATACATATATTAAATAAATACTCAAACGACAGAAAGATTGAAAATGTATCTTCGAGATGTTCAAAGTAGCGTTTGAAAGATCGGGATGTCTGTTAGACGTCTATTCGAGAGATCTCTGCGTCGATCGGATACTTGAGTGTGCGAAATTATAGATGCGAAAACCAAGTTCTATCTCAGAGCGTCATCGAACCCCCGGGGATGTTGCAAAATCGATAAACTATTTCTGAACAATTCTGGAAACACCCACGTCTTTCGAAGAAGTGAAGTCCGCATGCACGGGTTCTCACAATCACGGAAATCCGTGACAACGAGCCACGAAAGGAATGAGGGGAGTTATTATGATAATAATGTTAGATCGATATATAGTAGAGATAATAGACAGTAGCGAATACAGTAAATTACACTTATCCATAAGGATTACACGAGGATACTCGTGATTTGTATTAAGTAGAGAGGAAGCACAATATATGCGGGATATATATATATCGGCATCTTTGTATCTTGTGTATATACATATAATATAGTTGTTGCTCCCATAAGACTATATACCTATGTGCTCTTTTAGCAGTGGGAGGAGGAGGAGGGGTGCATTAGCACTACAATCTACAACTACGTTAAACATCGACGGTAATACTCAAAACAGAATAAATAGTAAATCAATTTTCGTTGCTTCGCCATACGTCTTGTCGTAGCATCGAAATCACGACTCTGGAGTCCCGTTTGTTGAGATTTGAGATTAAAGAGAAATCTCACGAAACGGTCGTCGATAACGGAGATTAAAGGGCTAATGATATACAGGCAAGAAACACTGATCAATAGAAAATGGTTTAAAGAAAGTTTTCTGAGAGGCCTACCCCATAGTAAACATTTCTTAAGACCTGAAATGCGAAAAAACCATGTAATCAATAGCAATAGCGTTGCTTCTGATATGTTTAATACGTATATACTTATGCGGGTGTTAGTAGAATAGTAGAATAATGTTAGAGAAGCGCAATACGTCGTTTCACGTTTAATGGGATTTAATATTTCATCAGTCGGAATAATAAATTTCAACTCTTTCGTCTTTTAAAATTATTGAAATATATCATAGATATTACTATGCGTGCTATTTTTTTTCGGTATCGTATTGTGCTTGAAACTGCTTGAAACTTGTGCTTTTCTTATCCATTATCTTCCCTATAAATTTCACCTAAAACGGTGTCACAAAAGATTTACGGATTAAATAAGATAAACTATGTTAACTTTTTCTTCACCCAAATAAAAGGATGTAAATGCATTTCAGATGAAATACTTCTGATTCTCTAATAATCGCATTCAGCTTAAAACAACGCATCTTTCTAACACACTCTTTTCTAACTCTTTAGTACTACATCCAAACTGACATCCTGAGAAGAATAAATGCCGATCTACCTATAATGATCTATCTCATCCCTTTTAGATGTATAATCACCATTCATATATACATAAGATTTATTTCCTGTAGCGTCCATGATATTGATTAATTGTAAGATAACGGCACTATAAGCCCATGCACGACTACCATATTGTATCAAATCGATGGTAAGTATATTCAGAGTTGTAAAAAAAAAAAGATATGTATATTCCGAGTTTGAACGGAACGAGTCGGTGATAAAATAATCTAGATCACGACATTTGTGATACACAGAAGCGAAATCAAGTCGGAAGACGACTGGAAACGGAACGTGCTGTGTGCATAGTCACCTTTGTGGTGAGGCGTCGGAGGCCCAGAGATGGTCTCGTGTTTCTGTCTCCATTGGCTCTGAGCAGCGATTCTTCTAGATGCCATGGGTGTCGATGGGCCCGGTCCTGCAGGCGCCATCCCCGTTGTTATCGACGACATCTTTCTTTCAACTACGAGCTCAATCTGCGGCTCCAGCCTCGACTCGGCGATGATGTCGTAAACCTCCCGGAAGCTCTTGCCTTGAAGGAACCTCCCATTCCACGCGATTACCTCGTCACCTGAAACAGCCGCAGGAGATCGTCGAGCGTCGTCCGATTCGGTTCTTATGCACGGTCGTGGGAGCGGGAACGGCTTGCTCGCGATTGTTGCGAGCATTATCGACAAGCCGTGCGCTTTCAAGGCGTCAAAGCTGAAAGCACGGATTACTACGACGAAATGTTCGTGAAACGATCGAGGCACAGATCTTTCATTAATATACACGATTAAGAATGCTGACCGCCACATATATATGTCGCGGTCAAATATACAAATGACGGCATATAATTTACCTTTCCCAATTCTCAATAAATCAATAATAAACCTTTAAGTTTTCTTGTAATTTTATTAATTAAGTCAATGTAATAACGATCGATATTAGATTGTTGCAAATAAAAAAACAATTTTTTATTTGGAACGTTTATATTACAAATTTAATACATACTTTCTTAATCAAAATAATCTCCATCTACTTCAATGTACTTTTTCTAACGAGATACAAGTCCTTCAATGTCTTTCTGATAGAAATCTAGAGAACGAGAGCCAATGAATTCTCCAAAAGCAGTTTTTACATCGCCGTCTCTTTCAAACAATTTTTTCTTCAAAAAATAATAATCTGTGAGTAACAGATCAGAAGACTAAAGAGGATGTAATAGAAGCAATGTGTTATTGCTTCACGACAATGCTCGGCCACATAGTGCAAAACAGACTGTAAAAAAATTAACAAAATTGAAATAATATATAAAGTTCTCCCGCATCCTCCTTATTTTCCTGACCTGTTACTCATAGATTATCATTTTTTCCAGCATCTAGGCTTTTTCAAAGGAAAATTATTTGAAAGAGATGATGATGTAAAAACCGTTTTCGGAGAATTCATTGCCTCCGTTCTCCAAATTTCTATCAGAAAGGCATTGAATGACTTGTATCGCGTTGGAAGAAATGCATTGGAGTAGATAGAGACTATTTTAATGAAAAAAATATATATTTTGTAATATAAACGTATCAAATAAAAAAATTAAAAAAACCTACATTTTATTTGCAACAACCAAATATATTAATTGATTCAAAACCAATGATTAATTTCCGATTACAATTTCTCTGGAGCATAGCGGCAAGAATGTTTTGTAATGTAAAGTGTATCTCGTAACGTTTATCATGACGTTCATTACGTAAATTTCACGTTTTACATTTTGTTTTTAATAAACGCGTCGTAATTAAGTGCTCGCGACTTGGACGATTTGAACATTTTGCGAATTGCTTGATCCAAACTTTGTAATCTCCTTACCAGGTCTAAGTTGACCTTCTATGTCCGCCGTGCTACCCTTTTTCACCTTCTCGATCAAAGCGCCCATGGAACCATCTTCCAATAGTTTGCCACCGACAACTTTTAGTCCGAGTATACTACTACAGCTTCCGGAGCCGGCCGATTTTCGCAAAACCATGTGGCCGATAATCTTCTGACCGTCCTCGCTCACTTGCCAGGATAATGGATGCTACGGAGCGCGGACAGTATTTCTTTTACTGATAATAGGTGTCACATGCCTTTATAAACCATTAACAATACGGAATGTACGTCCGAATTCTGAATCTTTAATCCAAACACGCTTACATAGGAAGAAAAAACTAAGAGACATTTTATGCGACATTAGTTAATAACCCCAGTATGACTTAACGTAATTATAAAATATACAATTTGTCTGTTACGAAAGTAATTAGTCAAAAGTCGTTCTTATAGAAACTCGTTTATATAAAACTCATATAATTTTGTTGATTTCCAGTATTCTGACGTACTTCCATTATTGATCCATATTTATCAATTAAAACAAAACTAATAAAAAACAATTGCAACACACATCAGTTAACAAATATGTACTACTGAGAAATGCCTTGCATCTTGCAGCAACACATTTCTCTTGCGCGAACTACTTGAGCGTAAAAAATGTTATAAGATACAAATGTATAGTTTTTAAATTAGCATAAGATTTGAAAGGATACGCATAGGCAAGTTGTATCGATATAAAAAGAGCAAAGAGCAATGTATAATTAATTAGAAAATGGAACAACTCTAATTGTTCTAAAAAATTAGATGTTTTCAACAAATAAAAGACCATGGTTCATCTTTCACGAAGCCTTTCGGTATCCTCCCAAGACTGTCTTCGTGGTTTTCGGCGATCTAGGCATGTCGGAAAATTTACAGAGCAACAAGCAACGAGCGCGGTTGTAGTACGTATAAAAGCGAATAGTGGTGTTTCATGCGCTACATGCGTGACTAGCAAATATTATAATACGTAAGGCATTCTGTACTGCATGCATCTCGCACCTGTCAAATTTTTAATATCCGAAGGCCCTCGGCAATTTCAAATAAAAATAATATATATACATGTATTGCAGACATGCAAATAACACTGCGTGGTCGTCAATATCCGTAATATATTGCCTAAAAATCCTGAGCGTGATGTATCTTTATCTTTATCTGAGAACGACACGATTCACCAGATGGATCTACTTTAAGGAGAGGGGTCGCCTCTTTTTTTGGCTTCAGTCCTATTGAATGTTGAGCTTCTCAACATCTAATGCACGATTCACAGAAAGCTCGACGGAAAGTCTTATAAGACAGAATTTTAATTCAAATGTCTATCTGTAAAATTTTTACGGTTCACGTCTTTACACTGTAGAGGATTTAATACCAGCACTAATCCTGCTTGGACATTGCTGGAAAATTAGAATGAGTCATCAGTCTACACGATCGATCATATATTCTCAAAAGCTTACAAATGTCGATAAATTCAATTACATGTTTTTATAATCCATTTCTACTTTTACGCCAGTGAAATATTTAGAGTAATTTTAGTCGTTATAATAACGATGCTTTTAATCATGTTGAAAGTCCGAATTTCCTGTCTCAGATATATTCGAATCGCCGAGCTGGCAGGATTGAACGCCAGACGGCAATTATGATATTCCTCACTCGCGATTAAACAATAGTACGAATCTCTTTCATTTGTACAACAGCTAACCGTTACAGAATCGTAATAATTGAGGAGATATTAAAAAATCCTTTGCTCAGAACTGATCGACGACAACTAACGAGGTCGTCAAGCCTCGTCAGTTGCGATACCCTTTGGCCGCGATCCAATTTGATTAATTATGAAACAGATACGCTTTTCCTTCCGAGAACTGGCAACTTCGCCAGTCCTTTAATTGAATCGTTTTGGACCAGTAGTTTGCCTCGCGAAAAAAAATCACGTAAAATTTTCTAAAATGACTAAAATACACAGTTGACAAAGGGGCAACATCGCGATGCACTTTTACCGGATAAGAGGTGCGCCTGCCGGGACGCAACACGATTATCGATCGGACGCAATCGTGCGAATCAATTCCCGCATCGCCAAGTCCCGTACCTTTCTCCTTCGATTTGTTCGGCGAAGTCAGTAGAAATCAATCGCGCTCGATGGTATTTAGTTTCCTCGTTTTTGCCTTCATGCATCGCAATCAGTTTCCACTTTTGCCCCCGAGAAAATAAAAGCAAGCCTCGAGTTACGTGACTTGTTTGAAAACAGGAGTGAAAAAGATTGATCCCGATCGAGTTGCTTCAAGAGATACGTAAGTCGTTGCCAGATAAATTACCCGATTGCCGACCGTTTACTCGGGGAATTTAATCTTGGTTATTTGCTTCGTATAATTGGACCGCGACCCCCGCAGCCTATCTCCTTCGTATATCGAACGATGAGCCGTGCACGCAATATTTCGCCCATTCAAACATAAACTTTACGAAAATGCTCAAATCGACATCTGTCGGAATCGCGGTCGTAAAATCTATTTTCCGGATAACGTATGATTAGTGTAATTTTCTTAACGTCTTCACGAATAATTTACTTTTAAAATGGTATAAATCTTTATTTATTTGTCCATAATGGCGAAGAAATCAAGTTTTATATTGTTATAACGTTTGGAGGGTTTGAAGGTATCGATCAGTGTTATAAATTTTTGCTAATCCCGACTAAAATAGATATCAAATCGAATCATCTTCATTTCCATTGAAGTATTCGTAATCGACTATATAATTTGACTTCGTTTTAGATATCAAAGGAATTATCCTATATTATTTTAACAGAAAGAAGTATGCAATAATCCATAATCAAATCGTGATTACTACTTATTATCCACTTTTGTTATCCGCGGAGTCTATTGATTCGTTTATACAAAAGAATGTCCTATTTCCACAAAATAGCAATCACAAACACACACACACACAAACACAGACACATCTTTATATTAAACTGGCGAATAAAAGTAACAAGAAGGATTTTATAAGGTAATACCAAGTGCCATTTTCTCTCTCTCTAGATATTTCCAGAAGAGTTTACACGCCGAATACTGAATCAATTACCTGCACCTTCTTGTACGTTTTACGTTATACAATGTAACTTACGAAAACTTAATTGGACGATCGTACTTTAACTTGGAAGTGGCGTAAAAGAGAAATGAATGTCAGAAATTATATTCATTATTTAAAACTACATAAATCTTCTTCGTCGCTATTAAATCTGTGTCATTGCGAAACTCGAGGAAAATTACGGTAGATTTTAGGCAAAAGAGGCACGACGGAATGGAATCGAAAGAAGTCTGACGCAAGAGAATTGTACAGAGAAGACGATTTTCTACTTAAAACTTCTGAATTCGCGGAATATCGTAGACGGCAATCAATAAAAAATTTTATTTTTTTATTTACTGATCAATGTTTGCTAACAAATGCTCAATGACGTATTATCGATAATCTGAATCAATTTGAAAGTCGAAAGTGAACGATATTCCGTGATTTCAGCTTCGGAAGCTTGAATTTTGTATCAACGCAGTAAAGTTGTACAAAAGAAAACCGATATAAATCATAAACAAACCTCGATATAAAAACAAACACAAGCACACAAGCCTTTAAGCACGAAGTTTAGGGTTAATCGAGCAAAAGAGGTTCTCTCTCCTGTCAGCATATGTAGAAAGAAAAAAAATTAAACGTTCAAGCATAATTTCGTAATTACGGCGTGTGTAATATATATATATATATACATATATATATATATATACACACACACATATATATCTTTCTCTCAATTCGCACATCGATCGGTATCAGTGGTCTCAGCGCGATCAATTGCGTAATTCTCCACTCCCTGAAACTTCGGCTCTCCTGGCACACGGTACACATTGTAATCCGAAAGTAACTAATTACAAGTGCTGCACGCTAATTACATCAATTAGCAAGCCACCTCGTCCAATGCATCTCTTCGCTACGCTATCGAAGCTATGGAGCGAGAAAGAAAACAACCGTAATTCCACTTTGGACGACGTATTCCATTTTGGATCCGCCGCGATTGGCGCTTGGAGTAGATCGCGCGCGGAAGAGAGTGATCATTGCCGAAATGATTTATCTATGTTCCCGATCGGTCGCAATCGTGCAACAAAAAGCGCTGCTGAAAAAAACCCCTTTTACTCGATCCACCGGCGTATTGTTCCTAAACTCTTGTCTATCCTCGCGCGCGCGCGTGTGTGGGACTCCGCCTTCTACATCACCGATCAACAGATCGACTCCGATCTACAAGTCGCTACAACTCGAGAAGCGTTCTCTAGCAGTTTTATTTTCTTTTTTTTTTTGCTTGCTTGCTTTTTCGAGCCGGTTGACGTTACTCGCTCGTAACCTGGCCCCGTACCTTGGGCAGATCGCCCCTGTTGCTGTCTTCACTGCTCGTGAAGGTGCTAGAAGTGTCTATCCCGGAGTCTTTGGTCGCGCTGTCTTGGCTACCCTGCCGATCGGCCTCCCAAGACCATTCCTCCTCCTGAGGGCCGCCGACATTGGTCCCACCGTCAAAACGCACTGTCTTTTTCCCCCTTCTCTCCGTGAACCTGATGGACACGCCACATACACACGAGGACGATAGGTGGTTGGTGCCTCTGTGTGTGTGTGTGTGTGTGTGTGTGTGTGTGTGTGTGTG